AAATTACCTTTACTCGGTATGCCTGTATGTGTTTGATCATACGATTGTGGTTTATTTCCTCCACTTACACCACCAGTGTATCCATTCTGTAAATTCTGTCCACTTCCTACAGACGTAGATTGATATTGTCCTGTTCCATCTGTTTTACCATTACCACAATTTCCATATAAACTATTGCATCCCGCAGTAGCTTTATTTCCACCTGTGGTGAAACTCGGTGCATTAGTTGCTTGTGTCAAATCTGTTTGACCAATTTTAACTGGACCTTGATTTAAATCAGTCTCACTCGTTGAACAACCTCCTCCAGATCCAGTTTTAGAACAACCAACATTAGTACCACTTACACTTCCCAAATTCGTTTGACTTGGTGTTTTATTACCAAATGGACCTTTATTCGTATTCCCATAATTACTACCAACACCTGAAGTAGGTGCAACAATTCCAGGAGTACCTAAATTCTTATTATCATTCTCTTTCTTCTTATTGAAATCACTCGGATTTATAGAAAGATGCGAAAAATCTTTCGACGTACCAGCATTCGTATGTGCAAATGGATACTTCGTACTATGTTGATTATCACCGTAATTATTATTATTTAAATTCTGATTATTAGCTCCAGTTAATCCAGTGTTACCATAATTATTATTTCCCTGTCCTTTGTTACCACTCGGTGTGTATGAACCTTTATCATTTTCTTGATCGTAATCGTATGTATCGGTATTTCCTATTTTATGTACTCCCGGCACTGTTTCCTCTTCGTTATCCTTACCATCTCCACTTTTGTCATGCTTATAATGATGCTCAGGTCTGTATTGACCATCGTCGCAATCATCTTCTTCACCGTGTGTTTCCTCATCCTTTTCTTCAGGCTGTTCGTCATAATTATCATAATCCAATTTTTCTTTGTTATGTGCACATTGAGAACACGGTGACTGAGATTTATGATTATTATGACCTCCTTTAATTCCACTAGAAATTTGATGACTCAATCCAAACTTATCGGAACCCGGATGAATATTTCCAGTTCCTGCAAAGCTTCCAGTACCAACAGAAATTCCTTGGAGATGATTTAATCCGTCTGGATTATTCGAAGGAAATATACTACCGGAAAATGCAGAACTTATTGCACTTGCGACAGATCCTGCTTGTGCGTTACTCGTAGCACTACCTAAAAAAAAAATACATCATACATTCTCACTTATACATTTCGATTGAATTAACTAACACGTTATTTTATCTAACGATAAAATATTATTCGATCATGAAATAAATATAAATATAACATACTGAATGCCGAGGAACTACTCCCTGCGAAGGATCCAAAACCTCCTAAAAAAAATTACTCATTATTGTAAAACAATAATATAATTGACATGAATAAAAAGAACGAATTGTGTACATACCTGGTGCAGCAAAAGTTGTAGCACATAATAAAACAATGACAGAACATCTTAAATAAATATTGTCCGACATATTATTATTTCGTATAGTTTATCGTCGATGAATAACTGCAAAGTATACAAGACAATAGTAGAATCATTACTGAAGACATCCTGTTTGGAAACTTGTATATATATAAGGATGATACTCATAGTGAAAGGATTGAATTTAGCGATACGATCGAAGTCAACGTAAATCGACGATAACATGTGGGTGGCAATGAATAATTATTATTTCATTCTTACCAAGAGTACACGTAGCACAACTTCGTAATGTAATCGGTAAGACTGGCGCTAAGCAACTGGGATCACAGTATACGTCATCGATCTTCATGGAGTTTCCCAAAGCTAACTTGTTTGATTCATGTCACGCTCGTGTCGTGAAGATGAGATCGCAGTAGAGAGAATGCGTATTCCTCTTCGTCTGCATTTCTTTAAATAGAAGATACAATAAAAAGACTTGCAAACTGGTTTACAGCATTCCAAATACCTATAAGGTGTTTTTAAAATCGTTATTTATATATTCATGATCAATATGAAAATATCCTTATAAGATATCGGCCATTTGTTAAAACCACAAAACCACAGGCGGTTTTATCAGTTTAGAACATCGTTATTTTTAGAATTATCTTTGGAATTTTCGATACTTCGTGAGAATATAAAAAAAATATGGAATTATAAGTTTATTTGAAAAACACTGTAGACGTTAGGATGTTACCGCCGAAGGACGTTTTTCCTTTCTACCTTTCGCATTGACAATGAGTTTAAAACTTGTTATATGCTATTAACTTATGAGTGGGAGATTATATTTACCATTTTAATCAAGATTCTAAAAAGAATTCGTTTAAAAAACATATATATATTATTTGTATTTTATGATGATATTTGGCACTTACGGATTTAGATAAACAGTTCGTTCTTACTTAACGTTTGTTAATTTATCCAGAAGAGTATTTTAAGAATAAATAGATTGTAATAATTCTTCTTTTAAGATTGATCTTTTCAATAGAAAGGTATAATTACACGTACGAGTTGTTTATGTATATGCAGTTAACATAATTCTTTTGTTTTCAATGAATCAGCTTTATTTCTAATGTTAAGAGGTCCGGTTTCCATTTGCATATTTTCATTTTAATACTTTGGATAAAAGAAAAATATTCATTTTACATTATGAATATCATAAATTATTCATAATTTTTCGTACAAGTGTGTAATAATTTATTATCTATCATTAAATATGTATTATTGTAATTGGTTAGAAGAAAAAAATTATTAATAAGAAAATTTCTTACAACTATTTTAATAAGAAATTCTGTTTTATCCTAAGTGTCAAATTGCAATTTCTACAATTCATTTATTTTTTCAATTATCGATAAATTACCTATCGATGTTAAATAAAAATAGTAAGGATTTTCTGTGTTATCAAATTGTTATTTTCGATCAAGTTACAATTATTTAAACAATATATTACATATGTATTACATCAAATATACAGTAGTTAACTTGATTTAAATAAAAATCGAACTCTCGTTTGACTTCCGTAGTTATCGAATCAGTGTTCTTCAAACGATTAAACAAGTAAGTGTAAATATTTTCTAATTAATAATTGTTAAGAAGAATTTTACATTGGTATAAATATTGCATAATTATTAATATATATGGAAAACAAAATAATAAAAAAGATTTAATAAATAAATTTAATTATCGATAGGATAAATCGATCATCGATCCATCATTCGACTCGTAGTTCACATTTTGTCCACGCGTATCGCTGCAATTGCTATGCACTTCCGACCGGCAAACAGCGACAGTCCAAATAAAAAGTATTAAACATGGCGTCGTTTATACGTGTGAAACGAAGATACAATGAAGAACCATCGAATGTTTTGCTTATTGCGTGTAAAAAAAGTAAAATTATCGAAAATGAAGGAGTTGAAAATGCATACAACGACGAACCGGTAACTGCAGTTGTGAAATTCGCTGGAACAGTCAAGGATCAAGTAAGTTTATTATTAAGGTTATTATTTTGTTTGATAACAAACAATTAATGCACTGTGTGCATCTATAGAATAAGTAAAAAATATAAAAAATATATTGTTTAAACAGGACGAAGATGCAATCAAACGTTTGGCAAAGACAGTTAGAAAAAATGAATTAAAAGAAAATTTTAAGAAGCACATGGTAGATATTAAAAACATGTTACGCACACAGATTAAAAATAATTCTATTCAAAGTAGATACAAGATAGTTAATCGCCATCGTTCAATGGATGAATCCAATATAGAGGAATCAGGAGATAATTTAACTGTAATAGACATCGAGGAGACTTTGTCGTATTCCATTCCGGTTGAAAAAGATTCTGAAACGGTATGCAATAATATTTATCTTAACCGCTGTTACTTACTTACTTTTAAATACATTTAGTTTATGTGTCTTTATATTCATGTTGTTTTAGATTGACAATTTTGTATACGACTTGTATTATACTGAACACGGTATGATTACTATAGACGATGATGTTGTATACATGCAAGGCGTAGAAGAAGAGTTAGTATATGATTTGGAAGAAAATGATGAACCTGAGTATTCATCAGATGATTCCAATTCTGAATCGAGATGGAATGATTATCCTGATAGTGACCAGGAAGAAAATGGAGAAGATGAAGACGAAGAGGACTTTTTAAGTACAGGTATTAAAAGATGTACCTTAAACGATGATTACCAAGATGCAGAATTAGATTCCGATTCGAGCATAGATGATTTTATTTATAGTGTAGATAAAAATGATGTGAAATATTTTGGTTATAAGTATGCGAGGTATAAAGCGAGAACAAATAAAAATTTAGCAATGGGTAATTATAGTCATAATAATGAATTAGAATTTGATTTTGAAGGTATCGATGAGAGTATAAGCAATGATGAGTATAATAATGATAGTTCTTCATGCGATTCTTCCGATCATGATAATGATTACTAAAAATTTTTATTACAATAATTTAGTAACATCGTTGACTAAGTTACAAAAATTTCAAATAATTATTGAATTTTTTCTTTTTATTTTAAAGAAATACACAAACAATATATTTTAATTAGCATTCCAGAAAAAAAGACTGTACGATAAAAACAAATTATCATATATATTGTTTCTTTGGCAAACATTGTTTCTTTTGCAGTAGTGTGCATTGATTATCTTTATCCTATAGTGTTGTTATAATATTCAAAATGAAAAGAAAAGAAATATTTTCAATACATACAAGATAAAATTAAAAATCTTTTCAGACAATTATTTTCAAATATCCTACATTCTTTAGGCTTTATTTAATTCTTCTTATTTTTCAAGTACCTGTAAAAAAAAAAAATAGTAATTATGGTTTGTAAAGGTTGTAGAATTTTATTTGCATGTTTATATATTTATTACATATTTGTATAGATATATCTTGTGTGTAAAATTCATCTATCAAAATAAAAACAATAAAGTAAGCCTACCATCGATAAATAGTTTTGAGACGAAAGGAAGATGTTTAAGAACATGAAAATAAGATCAAACTGTTTTCTTATTAAAAGAATGATGTGTAACGCTATGTGACATGTTATTAGGAATATTTTATTAACGCAATGGAAGTACCGGGATAAGAGATTTACAAATTTTTTATTTTCCTATAGCAACTTAAAGTCTTCCGCTATGTGACGTTTAATATTTTTCTTTTATTTGAGAGATTGTGTATGCATGATAAATTCAGACCATTTTTGTTCCTTTTCTTTTTCCAGTTTTGCTTTCTTTCCTTCGTTAGGAAATCATTATTAATAATAATAATAATAACTGCTCTTAATAAATAACATAACAAGAATACTCTCACGAAAGTATTTTTAGAAATACGTTCTATTAATAAATTTAATTATTAATTTGAAATCGAAGAGAACAAATATTTTGTATACGTTTAAAAATCAACAGTATAATTATTTGTTAAAAATCAAAGGATATTAATTAAACAGCCAATGATAATTTTAACGATCGTTTCAAATCCACATTAAAAATGTTCGTAGTTAATTTCATTTAATTGAATAATATTTGAAAATTCTATCGAATGCGTTTTTAACATGAGGTCTTCGCACGAATTAAATTGATGTCTTTTATTTGTTTTATTTAATGAACTCGTCGTATGATATGGGTAGTACTGCGTATACACGTAACTTAATCTTAATTCTAATTTTTACATTTACGCGCTCGCAATGAGTCGTGACTTGTGTACAAGTACTCGCGGTGCTTTTTGTTTGTTTGTTTTTCTTTTTCTTTTTTTTTTTTTTTTGATTTAGTGTATGCATGTGTTTGCATAAACAACATGTTTATGCATCTGTTCTCGCGTGTATATGTATGTATATACGAATGTGTCCTATGTCAAAACTATCTCATTTTTTAAAATTACAACACCGATCGTAATCGGAATTTAAATTATAATATGATAATTTGACTATTATTTCATAAATTAAACAATAAAAATTAAACATACATATATAACGCAAATGCAAATTATATATGTATAATGTAATGTAGATGTAGATGTAGATGTAGTGTAATGTAATGTGCGGAGACAAGAAAGAAGATTCGGTAGAAAATTATATAAGCCTAAATAATAATGCTTTTTGGCAAACTCACTTTACGTTCGTGGAACGGTTATCGATGCACTAAATTACCCAACAAATGTGAGTGCGCCCCTCTCGTATTTACACTTACACGTTTACACAGGACATTTTTATGTTTCTTATTTCTTTTTTTTTTGTTTTTTAAGGATAACTGAATGGCTCGCTTTAACGTTTCATCTTATATCTCAGTTAAACAAATCATTTAAACAATTCTTTATTTTTAGATTCATTATTCCTTTTGTTGAACATATGAACAATCAAGCAACCCTTAAAAAAGTCGTACAATATTTTAGTTTTTCAAGATAATGATATATATATATAATAATTAATAATACGAAATCTTCAGTTATTCTTAATTATCTTGTATGAACGTGTACGTGAGCCTAAAATTCGCCGACGTAAATTAATAGATTCAAAAATTGAGATTGGTATTTGAATTATTTTAAAGATCGTTTCTACCTTTTTTTTTTTTTTTTTATACTCAAATATCAAAAATCAGATATTGAATCCTTTGATTGTTTTTTTTTTTTTTTTTTTTTTTTTTTCCATAATACTCTACGTTATCTACTGTACAACATTTTACACTCAACTTGTATCATCATTTTTTATTTAACCTTAGGTATGTCGATAATTAATAACTATGCTACGAGATTATTGAATAGTCATGAGATTGCACAACTTTTTTGTTTTTTTTTTCTTTTCTTCCGTTTTATGTTTTTTTCCTTCCTCGTTTTAAATCGTATCGTCGATCGTGGATTCGCACCAGGAGATGTAAGCACAGCGCATCAATAATAATTATTATTATTATTATTATTGTTATTATTATTATAATTATTAATATTAATATTAATATTATTATTATCATCTTGTGTTTAAATCGCAATTATTATTTTTTTTTTTTTTTATATACAAGAAGAATGATACGTTTGTTTTTTAAAAAAAAAAAAAAGTGCATCGCCATAATCGATCGATATGATTTATAATTTTTCATTTAAATTAGATATCGAGATCCAATAAATCGTTGGTAAACGAGATCCTGACAAAACAATTAAAATCGATCGCATCTTCTCGACACACTTTTATTCAATTATTTTATCATTATTTTTATTATTATTATTATTATTATTATTATTATTATTATTTATTGTTATTATTATTATTATTTTATAATAATTATTAATATTATTATAATTATTATTATCGTTTCGCATAAATTTCTTTTATGAATCCGATAAAAGTGTTTATGTACATATATTGATGCAATTGTAAATCGGCTTATCGTAAGTACGAACAACAATTCCCTGGATCGACAAAAATCACACATGATGGTAAGTCAACTAAGTCGGTTAATTTAGTTTGATATATATTTGTTTAACTGGCAACAATTAACAGACTCGTCGTCATCATCATCGTCATCATCATCATTATCATCGTCGTCATCATCGTGATCATCGTAGGTGTTGTTTTTCATTGTTCAAATGTCCAACGCATCATTTAAAAAATGATCGAGTTATTTTTTATAATTGTAAACTAACACATCTAAAGTACGGATGCCTCGGTTCTACCAGTGGGCGGAGTGGTAGCAGTATGGCTACTAGAATTATTATTATTATTATTGTTATTGTTATTACTCGCCTCCCCCGCATGACTCGAACAATAAAATTTTTTGTGCGCTATGAACGTGCTCAAGTAATTGAAACTTATATCGCACGATCGACAATAACGTGGACCAGTCTTATTTGGGTCGAGACTTTCCTCGGGTGGTGGACTTTCCTCGCGTTCCTGTTTAACTTTACTGGCCGTGACTGTCGCGGCCGGGGGTGCTGCTGGCAAAATAGAAGGTTGAGGACTTTTACGGACCTCACTTTTTCCATTGATTTGAACCTCGGCTGGTATTTCTTCTGGTGTTGTTGCAGGTGCTGGTTCTGGTGTTGGAATAACAGCTTCGTCATCCAAGACACACGTTATGTAATTTTCCTCCTACGAGATTACAATTTGTTAGGTTGGTTCTATGTTTTTTTATTCTGATTTCAAAGGAAACAGAATATGTTTCATGTTTATATGTATGTATATGTGTAGTTTTGACTATACCTGAAGATCCGTCCCACGTTTTTCAAAGTGCATTCTTATATGCGTTCGCATACCACGTAAGGTATTCCCTTTGTAACGACAAATCGTGCACCTGAATGCTTTAACACCTTGATGAGCATCCATGTGACGTTGTGCTGCACCAGCGGTTGGACTGACGGCACCACATACGGGACACCGCCAACCACCGGTTGGTCCACCACTGCAAGTATGCGTACTACCTGCTTCTATTATTGCCTAAAAAATCATTTACATTCTTCATGATATTTCTTATCGACAAATCATTGATTCAATCAATTCGTTAATTAGTTACCTTGCATTTCGTGCACCGAGAATGATGTTCCTGCGATTCGGGCCTTTTCGGACAATAGAAAGCTTGATGCGCGACGAGATTATCCATGGAAGCGAATTTAATACCACATGCTGCACAAATTAGTTGAACCAATGGTGGCGAAGGAGTGCTCGGTGGTGGTGGACTATTGCTCACAGTTGTTTCCCTTGCTTGACAATAGTGTTTCTTATGAGCGACGAAGTTTTCGTGTCGACAAAAGACGATGTTGCATTCTTTGCATCTGACAAATAATGATGATCGATGTAAAACTTTGATTAAAGAATATAGAATATAGTATTTGTGTTTCTTTTTTTTTTTTTTTCGAATAAATAAAATACTCACCTGGAAACACCATGCTTAACGAGGACACCAGGTACGGGTACAGGAACAGGAGGAGGTGGTAACTCGGCCAATCTAAGAGCTAATTCTGTTTGAACTGTTGGTGGTGCGGATCCGGTACTGCTACTTTGATTCGTACTAATAGACCTTGCTCTTGGACTGGCACTACCTCTAGACGATCTTGGACTACCCGGTGGTGGGGGAAGCGAAGTTGGAGCTGGCGAAACTCTGTTTTCCTTTTCATCCTGATGTGCCGTAGGTGATCTTCTAACACTTAGATCGAGTGGAGTCGATACGGACGGCGAGGTAGAGGAACCAACGAGGGATGCAGGCGTGGTAGGTTTGTTGGCTGCTCTAAGGACGGCTGGTGGTTCGGTTACGGTATTCGTGCTTGCTAATCCTCTCATCATTGGTTGCAAAGATCCATTTGGCAGTAAAAAACAGGCGGTGTCGGGTGCGGGAAGTGCCGGTGCAGCCAAGACACTGGCACCCCGTATTAGGGAATACGGTACGATGAGAATCGGATTGGTAGGTAATGCCAAACATGGCTGAGGTGGGGGCGAATCGCCAGGACTTGAACTGGTAGGTGGGGAAGCTTTAGCCGAGGAAGAAGATGCTCCTGTTGGTACTGGTGGTGGTGGGGGTGGTGGTGCACCGTCTTTGACAACGTGCCTGGTACTGCAATAATGCGTTTTGTGTGCCCGATAAGTCTTCAATGAATTAAATCTGATGTCACAATTACGACAATATCTTTCAGCTTCCTCGTTCAAGGAACCGTTCGATGCGCTCGTTGAATTATTTCCAAGTGTTGTTCCTGTCGTAGCCGATGATGATGATGATGGTGGTGGTGGTGGTGGTACTGTTGGAATCGTCGGTGGTGCCGGAGAAGCCGAATGCATTCGCATATGCCGATTCAACGAGACCTTTTTGTCAGCACTGTATGAACAATGTGGACAAGCGTAAGCTTTCCTAACTTCAAACTTATTCGACTTCTCCTCGTCCTCATCATTGGTAGCATCATCTTCTAAACGCGGTCGGTGGGCGCAATAAAAGGTACGATGAGCCTCCAAAGTGCTTGCCGAACTAAAACGAATACCACACGGTGGACAGTAGAGGGGAGCCGGTCTGGCAGGTTCAACGGTGATAGTTTCTTTCCCGTCGGTTGGTAGGACGAACAAACGACCCGATGCAATCGCTGAAATAACAATTTCAATTTTTTTTTTTTCTCTCTCTCTCTATTATCACCTTTTAGCCATCTAGTCGTGTCACGTTGATAACGATCAAATGAAATAACCCGTAGAATAAGAATGGTAGGAATAGAATATCTCTGATGTAAAAAAGAAAAGAAGAAAAAAAGATAAAAAGAAAAACAAAATTTCTAAGCAGGAAATGATAGATAAGATTTTTGGGGGTTTGACCGTATGTTATCGACTAGGATATCGATTTCTTTGTAGTTTTCGAGATCACTCGAGATAAATTTACCATTCTGCAGGCCGGCAGGTAAAGGTGGGCCGGGATTAGGCGGGGAAGAAGCATTCTCAGGTTTGACGGTAAGTGCTGCTACGGCAGCAGGCCGAAGTGCTGGATCCGTCGCTAGACTAGCATTCAATCTCAGTCTTGGTGCTACGTCCTCTTCTAATTTCATTTTTTTCGGATCTGGTGGTGCATCCTCGATAATACAACTCGACGTTGTTGTATTCGTACGTCTCGTTGAATCCTCGCTGTCTCTTCTCGTACTCGCTTCTCTTCTTCTTATCAATGATGATGATGATGATGATGAGGAAGTGGTCGTTAAGGAAGACGGTGGTTTTTGTTGACATTCTTCGTCTTTAACTATCACTATACTAGACGATTCCGAATCATCGATATCCTTCGGACTGGATTCTCTCGTTAATCTCGACAATACGTGACGATCTCTTTGCGTTTCTCTCGTAATCTATTAACAAAATATTTTCAATAATAATAATGTATATTATTTATTAATTATATCAAACGAATTAATTAATTACAATGATCTAACGAAAAAAATTTAAACAAAATATCGAATTACACAATCAAATAACGTAAAATGTGCATTTATTTGTATTATTTCCCTAATTTTTATGTGATCACGATTATTGTTTTAATTATTGTTACCAAATAAACAAAAAAGCTTACTTCTTCGGTGAGACTAGTTAATCGCTTTCTAGCGTTCTCCGTAAGGACATTAAATCGTTGCTTGATATCATCGGCAGCTGAATTAAAGACTATACTATTCGAGGATGATGAGGAAGCGTTCAATCTAGGTGGTGGTGGTAAACTAGAGTCCTCCTCAACATTAACTGCACCAACTGGACTAGAAACAGCTGATCCACCACCCTCGACGCCGCTGCTCACCGATGGGGTTTTTTCGGAGTCGCTCCAATCCTCATCCTCCCCTGAAAACAAACGAACACCCCACCATTTAATACACCACATATAATCATAGTAATTCGAATTGATATTTTTTTTGTTTGTTTTTGGATACCAATCAAAATGTGGAAAATAAATACATTTAGAAATAAATCGTTGACGATGAGATACGTAAGATTCTCGAGTAATAACAACCATAACCACGAATTAAATACAAAAACGTGTGTGACGCATATAAAACGATGCGTCTCTTTAGACGTTCGAAACTCTAATGGCTTCTCGCCACGCTACTCTCAATTCCCCTCTATTCTATCTCCCTCTCTCTCTTTCATTCTAGGTTCTCAGCACCCTTCGAAACCTTTGGGAATCCCCCCCTCCCTTCCTCTCCACGTAATACACACTCAGAATGATCATTCTTACGTATTACTACGAACTAACTCGATGAGGGCCTGCTGTTATTGGTGCTGGGGCTGGTTTTGGTGTTGGTGTTGAAGGGTAATCTCTTTTTCAGAGTCCTGTAAAGAATCGATAAGATTTCGACGTCTATCTGATTAATGATCCTCTTTCGTTTAACGCGTTGTTGAATGATTTAACGTTTCCTCACGATTATTCTTGAAATTTTTCAAATATTATCAATCCGAATAAAATTGGGGATTTGATGTGAAAACATTTTTGAGAGAAGATTATTATTTGTTAGATTAATAAATATGTATCGTAGGGAAATTGGATATTAAAAATAACTAGAACTTAATTTTGATTAAATTGAACATTTATTGTGACTTCTTCAGCAACTCAATTTCTAACGTTCAGCGTCTTTTTCATTTGAGCAGAATATTCGATAAAACTAAACATCTAAACTTCGTTATATCTTAATACGTTATACATTTGAATACTCAAACAAAATTCTTTCTTTCTTTTTAATGTCTAATTTCTTTACGATACATATTTATTAATAATTTTATTTTTTGGAAACGAGAGAAATAATTAATTAGAATATAATATTTATACAATTATCAAACCGAATAAAACTGGGTATCTGATGTGAAAAAATTTGAGAGGAGATTATTATATATTTGTTAGATTAAAATATAACATTTATACAAGGTGGGAAAAGAGAAAGAAAGAAGAGGATGATGATGATGATGATGACTTCAATGAAGGTCTAGAGCAAAGGCCAAGAGAAGAACTCACGTTGAAGATATCAAGTACTGGCATCAATAGTCTCCTTCGTGTTCCCTCTCCCTCTCTCTCTCTCTCTCTTTAAATAAGTGTTCATCGATGAAGAAAGAGAGAAGATGGCAAGGAACGTTTCTTCGTGCTAACCATCTCTTTCTTTTATTCATTCTTTATTTCTATCCTTTTCAAACGTAATACTGTTGCTCTCAAAACCATTCCTCTTCCTTCCTTCCTTCCTTCCTTTCTTTCTTTCTCTTTCTCTGTCCTTTTATTCACCAACAGTGATTCTTAATTGCACGTGCATGCGAGTAACTCGGTGATCGAGAAAGGGCTGCTAAAACACAACCACCACCACCAGCACCACCACCATGTGCAAAGAGTTGTGCGCGTGCTTACAACCAACAACAACAACAACCACCACCACCAATAATTACCAATACTATCTAAGAACCAATACATACATACATACATACATACACAAGGTTCTTTCTCTCCCACGAGTAGTACGGTCCGGCTTTTGCCAACCACCTTCACTCGGGGTGTAATATATCTCGAAAGGGGAGGGAGGGGGGCAAACACGGCCGCCATTAACATATCCGCGAGCCGATAAGCCTTTCTTGGAACCGATACCGCGCCCGAGTCTACACACCACACCATCACAACCATCACAACTACCACCATGTCCTCTCTCAGGGCTTTGTACTGATGTTAGAAACGGAACCGTACTAACACACATACCATTTTCTCTCTGAGGAGGATCGTATAGGAAAAGGGTTGAGTTGGGTTGGGTTGGGTTTGGGTTTGGGTTGGTTATAGTGGGGTGCTTGTAAATGGGTGGGTGGGTTTAAGTCGCGGAAGCCACCACCCAGATTTACACCTTCCCTTCTTTTATTCGAACTGCTTGCTTTTTCTACTTCTTAAATCCCTATGACCACCCTACGACCACCCTATTACCACCCCCATCTGTCACCTCTTTTTAAAAAACATCGTTTTGATTTTTCCGATTTTTTTCTTTGTTAGTTATTTTAGTGTTTGAATTTTTTATTGAATATTTTTATTGAACACGGCGAGACAACAATGTTCTTTTCTGTTCTTTTCCAAACTTGAATGTTGGGTTTGTTCGAAGTAGATAAAACAATTACTCCTTTTGTTAGGTTTTCGAAGTTAACGTTATGTTTGTCTGTCTCAAGATAAGACAATACCTTCTTTTGTGATTTATCTCAAGTTAAATGATTAATCGTGTTTTTTAAACTGACATGATTAATTTTATTTGGTAATAACACTTTGTGTTTCTTTTTTTTTTATGTCCTTATCGTTTTTTGAACTTGATTGAACTTCGAACGAGTTCAGAAATTAATTTGAATAATTATTTTCATCGGTATGCACAATACGTGATTAATAATTAATGAATAATTTAATTGAAATATTAAAATATATAAATAAATCACGTATAAGGGTATAGATTGATATCTTCTTTAGAAAAAAAGAAAAATAAAAAGAAAAAACAAATACTAAGGGTCAACATAATCAATTTCCTTTATTAACGTACGTGTTACGTTATTAATATTATTATTATTATTATTTTCTTTGTCTTCCTTTACTTAACTTGCAAAGATCTCGGTGCGATTACTTTTGTTTGCTTCTTCCTTTTTAAGATCGGATGATAATTTAGTTTAACAGCGGTAGAGAGAGAAAAAAAAAGGAAAAAGAAAAAGAGTAAAGTAGAAAAATCACGTGAACGAGTGACTCTCGCGTGTAAAACTATGAACACAACTATGGAACCGATTGCAAGAGGAATGCGAAACTGAAGTTTTACGAGAATTTTCAGAGTGTAAAAATTATAACTCCTTTCTTTTTTGTTACTTCGCGTTTAAAGGGGTAATTTTCTTTCAAGTTTCTACCACGTGCTTTCTCTCTCTCTCACTCTCTCTCTCAAACACTTTTTCTTTTTCTTATGGTCACGTAAAAGCAACAATAACATAACACACCACACCACACTACACCACATCACGCGTAATGATTAACAGCGTCACGTGTTTCTAAGCGACTTGTCAAAATTTGACACGCCTATTTTTTTTTTTTTTTCTACAACCACTTCGTACGTTGCAACAAGGTTTCAGTTCGATCGATCGATCGATCGATTCATCCCGTTGATGACTTTTTGTTTTTGTTTTTTTCTTAAAAGAAAGATTTCACGTCACTCTTCATTATTTTCCACGGTAATTAAAACTTTCATATTTATCTAAGAAAAAGATAAAAAAGAAAAAAAAAAAAAAAGGTGAGAATAATATTTTCATTAAATTTCTCTCAAGTTTGATTTATTTCACAATTAATCGCTGGTTTTGAATACTCGAAGTATACATAATTAAAATCAAGTAAGAATGATAATCGACAGAGTTAGTTACTCAAAGCCAATCGAAATGTAAAAGACGAACAAATAAATAAATAAAAAAAAACATTTAAGAGAGAAGTAACCAACCCTTTCTCTCTCTCTCTTATCGATGAATTCACTAATACAAACATCAAACAGACGTATCTTATTAGAGAGGAATGGGGTATGGTCAAGGAGAGGTGTTAAACGTACAACTAACGTGGTCTACTATTTTCAGAAACCGATCAGATCATCGTCGTTGGAAAAAAAGTATAAATACGATGGGTAGATGGTACAGTAGAAAGAGAAGGACAAGAAGAATAAAAAAAAGAAGGAGGAGGAGGAGGAGTTAGAAGATCAAAAAAGAATAATAAGAAACTAACGTACCACTAGCACCAGTACCAACCAACCAACCAGTACTATTACCAGTACCAGTACCAGTACCAGTACCAGCAACAGGAGCAGAAGCAACAACGGTAGCAGCTTCATCGGCACTATGCAAATAGGATCCTGATCGTGACGCGGGTAGGCAAACACGCGACGTACAGGTAACAGGCAGGCCTGCTGAGTCCTGAGTGAGTTCTCTTCTTCTTTCCTTTCTCTGTATCGTTGTTGTCGCCTTCTTCTTCTTCTTATTCTTCTTATTCTTTGATTCGTATATGTGAGGTTCCTTTTCATGGGGCCACGACCCATGCAAAAGATGCATGCCAGTCGTAGCAGTAACCCGATGGATCGGTTGCTGCTGTTGCTTCTGCTGTTACTCTTGCTGTTACTGATGCTGAATGTTTCTATCTCTTTATTTTTATTTTATTCTTTCACTGTCTGTTCGTCTACCTGTCTTTTTCTTTCTTTTACCTTTCTCTCCGTCTTTCCTTCTTAGTCATCTCATTCTCTTATTCTATCTTCTCTGTCTTTCTTTATTTCTTTCTTTCTTAATCTTTTTCCATTGCACTACACGTTGCATCGTGGAGATATGCTAATGCAGTCGTCCCGATCGTGACACTACGGCCACTAAGTGAGAGCTCAAGTCGCAACCTTCTCATCGACTTCTATACTACTACTACTACTACTACTACTATTACTACTATTATCCTTCTCCTTTCTTTCTATCTCATACCCCCTTTCTTTTCATCTTAGGATTACGTACAGCATGATCGACTACGACGAAGACTATTCTGATTTCGTGGATGATTCCAGATGAACGTTTAACTTTCTAAATTATTTAATAATTTTCTTTGATCAAATGGTAATCTAATCATATACTGTTTTTTGTTCAATTCTTTTTGGTTTTATTTTTATACTTCTTGGAATACTGGGTTTTAATCGTATGGCGTAGATTCTATTCAGAAAAGTAGAAAATTGCGAAACGTTATAATGAAGATGAATTTATTTCTTTTTACTATAAGTTAAATATTGAAATTTAGAAAGAAGAAAAAGAAACAATCAAGGGATGTAATTAACAAGTTCGCGGACGTGAATGCTATAGCATTCAAATTTTAATGCTAATTATTTTGAATTTTATTTGAGATATAACATCTTAAGTATTTATAATTATTATACCTGTAAAGTATTGATTTTTTAATATATGATAATCTGATTGACATTATAAAATGTGTTCAATCAAATTTTAGGTATCACAATTAATTTAATAAATAAAATATGACTGTAACCTCTTTTTTTATTTTTTTATTTTAAACTTTTACTGTCTGCGAACGTATTAGGTGAAGAATTAGGATAACAATTTGAACTCTAATCGATCAATTTTTATCACTGCACTGATAAATGCATCTGAATTAAAAAATTAAAATTAAACCTTCTTTTTTTCTCTACGTTTGTGTTTAATCATCATCGTTATTGACATACCTGATGTCACTCGAATCTATCTTATTTTTTTCTTTTTCTTTTCCTTTCTTATCTTCTTTCACTTTCACAAAAAATCTTCACTATTTATCTATCTAATTTGTTTACGAGTAGAAACATGCTACGTGTCTTTGACCAAAACTAAAAAAAAAAAAAAAGAAATATCTCGATATCTCAGGGAACGAATTTTTCAACTTTAATTTTCTTTTTTTCAAGTTTTACTTTTTTTTCTTTTTCCCCCCTCATCTCTCCTCACATCGATCGCTTAGCAGCTTAATCTTTTAACGTTCCCGATGGGAGAACATCGATTAAAAAAGACTCTTCGGGACTAGGATTAGAATTCGAAGCTCTTCTTCTTCTTCTTTTTCTTTTTCTTCTTCTTCTTATTATTATTATTCTTATTTCATCTACCCTAATCGAAAGAGAGTTCTCGAATTTTATAATTTTTTTTTTTAACGTCTACCTTTTTATAACGGTCTATCATAATTTTCATAAGAGATTATTATCCAACATCCATTTACCATCTTCTTTACCAATTCTCCCCCCACCCACACCCCCTTTCGGTTATTCGACTCGTAATTACGATCGATCTAACAATCTAATAGAAAAACAAAAAATAATTTACTAAATGAAAAAATCACGAAAGGCCAATTATTATTTTATCCAATCACAACGCGACCTTCTTGTATCCTGTTTGATGATATTATGGTTTGTTTCTTTTTTTTATTTTTTGAGGGGCTATTTGACGTCTAGTTTTTTGTTTGTTTGTTCTAAATATTCGTAAGCATTATTAATATTTTAAAAATGAAACTAAAGAAAGAAATTATATAAAAATGATGATCTTTGATCGGTGCCGAGACGCAGCTGTTTCGATTATCTTGCAACAGGAACAGGATCCGTGTAGGTCGTTTCGCTGGTTAGCAGGACCTTCGAAGGGCGGTATCTTTACCAGCCATCTGTCACTCCTATGCATTGTTTTTTATGTATGTGTGTTATTTTTTATTGTATTTTGTTACCGAGTTAAAGAAAAAAACTATGCGCATTGTTTATTACATTTTTGTTTTTGTTACACGTTAAAGAATTTGATTTGGAAATTAGTGTTGAGTAAGCAAATGATGATTATGGTGAATATTTAAAACGTTTACCCTCCCCCCCTATAGTTAATTATTATATAACAATAATTTTGTTGAAATTTAAATTGAAATATGTTATCACATCGATGTAATATTTTGAGAAAGTAGATGACAATTATGGTGAACATTTAAAACGTTTACCACTCCCCATTGTTAATTATTATATTATAATAATAATTTTGTTGAAATTTAAATGTTTACATCGATATAATATTTTTTCATTCCTACTTGATAGATTGTTGATTGAACTGTGATGACTGTTTATTTAAAAAATGCATAATATATAATATAAATAATAAAATTGTTTATATTTCAAATGGGGAAAAATTTAAGAAATGAAAGTGAACCAAAAATTGGAAAGTGGAAAAATTCGAATCTTTTTCGTAGGAAAAGAGTAAAACGTTGCTTATTGAAATTGCGAAAAGGTGTAAAATTCGAAAGGGAATGGAATGAAAAAAACAAATGTGAAAAGAAAAAAGAAAAGAGAAAAGAAAAGAAAAAGGAGATCGACGGCACGAGCGGGCGTGCACGCGTGTCTTGAATATGCAAAAGCCAAGCCAAGCCAAGTCATGGGGGGGATATGGTGTATACGTGTCGACGATTAAGCCTTAAGATGAGGCAGTCATTAAGAGATAGAACCAGTTGACACTAAGAAGAGACACTCAAACCGATAAATCTCTCTTATTCCCGTTTTCTTTCGAATAACTTGTTGCAAACATTTCGATCTTATATTTCTCGAAAACGGGCTCCGTCGTTAAAAAAACAAAAACAAAAAAAAAGAACCGGAACCACGCGAGCAACAATTTATTTCATTTTAAAGTTGAATCAAACGGATGGGGGTTTTTCATGGGCGGGCTGGGGGTGGACAAAATTTATTCCAACTATTATTACTGATCAAATACAATTTCATACGTTTTTACAGTATTTTTTTACGAATTATAATACATTAATACACGTTCGTTTGATGTTACGTTGATTGTACAATAGATTAAGTATTCAAATATTAGATCGAAATTAATTTTCTAAGTTTGTTAGATAATTTAAAAAGAAAATAAAAATACAGAGAAGGAATAAGATTCGATAAATTCATTTCATACGTTTTTACAGTATTTTTTTCACAAATTATAATACATTAATACACGTTCGTTTGATCTTACGTTGATTGTACAATACATTAAGTATTCAAATATTAATTCGAAATTAATTTTCTCAGGTTGTTAGATAATTTAAAAAAATAAAATAAAAATAGATAAAATATGAATAAAAATAATATTCGATAAATAATCTACATACGTCATACATTTCTACAACACTTCTTTACAAATTCCAGAACACACTCGTTTGAATCTCACATTGTATTGTACAATAGATTAAATATTCAAATATTAATTCGAAATTATTTTCTCAGATTATTAAATAATTTGAAAAGAATCCCCAAAAAGAAAAGAAAATAAGATTCGATGACGATGGGTATCGGGGGCTATGAGGGGGGGATTGGTTCTCGCGTGAAGCAGCCCACTTGGATCAGATAACAAAGGAAAATGGATCTGGATCGAATCTTATTGTGGTAAGAGACGGATTCGTCGAGAGGTGCTCGAAAGATTTCTTCAACAACGACTACAACGTCAGTAGAAATAGGTGGGAGAGGGGTTTGGGGATGAGGGGGTGGGGTAGCAGGCAAGTGAAGGAGGTGGATGAACAGAACGTAAAGAAGCAAGGAAGAGAAGAAGGAACAGGAGGAAAAAGATGAGGAGGATGAGGAGGAAGATGAGGAGGAGGATGAGGAGGGTGAGGGGGAGGAGGAGGAGGATGAGGACAGACGGAAGATGGCCAGTACTCGTCTAGTCGAGATCTAATCTCACATTCCCGCGCTGCGTGCCTAATTAAAGATCAATATCTCTCAATATTATTGCACCCCGTTCTTCCCGCAGCTTCCCCTTACCATCCTACTACACCCTTTCTGTCGCTTCCTATCCCCTCCTCTTTCCAACCACCCTCCTCTTTCCAACTCAACTCCCCCTTTCTCTCTCTTTCTCTATCTATCTTTCTCTCACTCACTTACTCACTCAGTCTATAGTAGGTTATTAAATTCTGTTATCTCAGTGATCTGGTCTGGCTGGTCCTACCCAGGTTTATCTGATCCGGTTGATCTCTCTGGTCTCGTTACCTTCACCTACCTACCTACCTACCTACCTACCTACCTACCTGAGAATCATCATCATCATCATCATCATCATCATCGTTATTATCATCATTATAATCGTGGTAATCATCATCGTTGTTTTATTTCTTGAATACTTGTATATATATATTTAAAATTTGATAGTTTAACTTTGAATCGTATTTTTGTCATGATTGAATGATTTATTACATCAGAGAATGAACCAAACAACCATAAGTAACGTTCAGTATCTCGGTGTAACCAGGTAGCTTATATTACCTGAAGCGAAACATTATTTTGCTGTTGCTGTTACTGTTGAGAACATCGTAAACGAGAGAGAACGTGTAAACGTTCTACCATTTGGTACTTTGAAAGAGAGAGAGAGAGAGAGAGAGTGTGTGTGTGAATGAGTGAGTGAGTGAGTGAGTGAGAAACCAAGAGGACTAAGAACGGTACGTAACGTTAACGATCAAGTAAGTGAATGTAATAGTTCTATACAAGTATATATATGTATGTGTATTGTACGGGGTTACTACCGTTGCGTGACTTTGG